TAAATTCATGGAAGTTGAGATATAAAAGAATAAAGCTTATCAGAACAATTGCTATGAAAATATTTATAGAAAAAGCTCAGGGAGGTTACATTATGACAGTGGGAAAATGACTGAGGGCAAGATGCCAGGTCAGGACTGATAACATCACAGATTTGTTATTTTTATGTATTCCAGTTGTAAGCAGACAACTTTTTCCCAAGAACTGCTACTTTGTGTAAAAGACTCCTACACTGATCTTTCCTGAACATTACAATCTTATCCTCTTCAGGTCAATTGATATCTATCCTCCTTATCTTCCTAATTTCCACTTCCTATTACCTCCTCTTACATATCACACCTCATTCAGTAATCCTCTACCTTGAGTGGCTTTCCAGCTTTATAGATGGTGAACATTAATATAGAAAAAATGCTGCCAGGGTGCAATGTGTTGTACATAAGAGAAATAGTGAAATGTGGAAGATCCAGTGACAACTTTCAATCAAGACAACGAAGACTATACATATTACTTATGTCAAAAATTCCAAGATAAGCCATTGTCTGCTGTTTTTGTAACTGCTTATCATTTACATTCTATTCATCATAGACAAGCTAGAATATTTAAATTGTTTGTTTGTCCTAATTAAAGATGGTAGCTACTGTAAGCTGATGAAAGATTCAAATTTGTCAATAGAAAAACTAAATAATGATAAAGATAAATAGAAATATTTGAATAAAGATTGAGTTGCACAAAAACAAAAATTAGCTTCAACAATTTGAGTTTAAGAATGTGACTCAAATAAAAAGAAATATTTTTCAATTTCTTTGTGCTAGATCAGAGTTTAATAGACACAAACAAAACAAAGTTAAGCAAATGAAAGTCATTTTAACTAATTCAGTAAAGATAAGATTATATTATTAAATTTTGCAAAACTATGTTAGCGTGAATGACCATTAATTCTGACTAGTATTTATTTGCATCTTATCTTTTTAAAATTTTTTAGATTCTAAGATTTTTTTGTAAAATTTTGTGGCAAATTTATTTAGATCATCTATATTTGATTCACGACCCATTCAGACATTACAATTTGATATAGTATCATCAGAAAAAAGGAGACTTACAAAAGCCCCATCATCACCAGAAAAAATAAAAAAAATGAACTATTAACTTGGTTAACTGATGTTATTTGAACTCTGCCCACACCCAGCTTTCACCACAGGAGATAGACTAGGTTAAACATCATCAAAGATTTTCTTACATTAACTAGGTACTAAGGGAGGCTATGAGAACTCAGTAACCAGCTTATTCATGATCCATGATGTCTACTCACTGTGATAGATTGACAGTAAAGGTGACACATTTGACACGTTTCTCCATTAATTTAAAAGAAATTATCAGAAATTGCTTGTTTTAATTCAGGAACTGTTTTCAGATTGAACCTGTAAACAAGATTCACCGTTCAAAAGAAACTTTAGTAGGCGAGAAAGGTCACTGGACCAGGGACAGCCAACAAGGCCGACCCACTCCTTGAAGAAATCCGACAAAGAAAAAATCCCCTCAATAATCGACTGGTGATGTTTCCCATGTCTGGTGATTACAGAATGGATTAGGCGAATCATTTGGACAAGAGGGAAATGTATGTAGCCATGTTGTTCCGTCGACGCCAAGTAAAGTATTCATCTCAGACAAAAAAAGTTAAACACATCAGATTTTCTTTACAGACACACCCTGTATTTGATTGGAAAAACACATTTGACACGTTCTCCATTAATTTAAAAGAAAAAAGTGGAGAAACCTGGTTTTCATGGTGACATTTATAAATTTTCATTTTAGTAAATTGTTTTCTGTTTTATTGGAATTAAAGTAGTATTCCTGATATACAAAATTTATATATATATTGTTTTCTCACACACACACAAATTTATATATATATATATATATATATATATATATATATATATATATATATACATTATAATAAGCATTAATATATAAATATAGTAAAGAATTTTGCATTGAAACACTAACAGTATTTAACTGCTCTGAAATTCTACTTAATTGCAGAAATTGCCTCCAATCACTAATTCTCTTCACAGTCAAGTAGAGTAATGTCTCCCTCCATGTTATGGAAGCCAGACCTCACCAAGTAATTCTTCTATGTACTGTGTCAATCATGGCTCTCCACAATTGCTTGTCCCTTGTAATTCTTAATAAATTTTGTGTAGAGATATGTAAATGACTACCTAATTAGTATAGCTATGGCATAGATTATATAAATCCCCTAGCAGTAAGGGTAGACTAGCTCTTGGTATGTGAGATAAACAACTACCGCTGGACTGATAAAATACAAAGGAAATTTTATTTCATAAAATGTTGTCTTTTTGTTATCTCTCCTAAACCTTGTTCTGCTATCCAGTTACTCAAACTTTCTAGGTAGGTTAAGTGTTTTTTTCCTCTGTCTGTCCTGTGAGTATCAAATTTTCCACGTCCTCTTTCCTCATTATGTGCCCTAGGAATTTCAATTATCTTTTCCTGAGGTTAAGAATAAGTGTCCTTTTTGTTATCATTTTCTCTAAAACTTTGTCATTGCTCACATTTTCAGTCCATGGTATTCTCACCATCATTCTGTAGAACCACATTTTTGTTGCTTCAAGTCTCTTTTTCATCTGTAAGGTTATTGTCCAGCATTCACTGCTATTTAGGTGGACTGTTATTCATGATGTAATACTATACAAAATTTGTAGTTTTGCAGTTGACCTTTAATTTTACATTGTTTGTTTTTTATAAAATAATGAGACCATTTATTTTTTCAGAACAAAAGTTGTTTCTTTCACTTACTCTTCAGAGTCACTGATTTTTAATGCAGGTTTTTGCTTGCATTTTATAGCTGAACTTCTATAAGATTTGATTAAGTGATGTCTATTAGAGCCTTAAACTTAAATCTTTCTTCTTCTCCATAATATTTCAACAATATTTGAACAATTAATGACCCTATTACACTGTATTTTTATAAGTAAAAAGGAAAATTTATTTCCCTGTTTTCAATTTAAGTATTTTTAAAGTAATAAGTATTAATTTCTGTTTAAAGTTAATCAGCTTTTGTAGGCAGTAACAGAAGGGTCAAGGAAGAGGACTAGAAAAATACTATGGTTTTTTTCCCTTACGTCAAGGGCTTATTGGAAAGGATTCAGAAGATCTGTGCTTTATACAACATCAGGACAATATTAAGAAGCAACTCTATCCTATGGAGAATTCTCTAATAAGTTAAGCCTAACAGAGAGGAGCACATGATTGATTAATTATTATTGACAGTTTATCAACCCATTACAGGTTATTTAAAGCCAGAAAATATTTTTTTAGATCATAAGAATTTTTTTGAGGTAATAATGATTTAGTGATACAAGTCTTACTAATTAACCCATAGCTGGGAGGAGACAAGATCAATTCATACCTTTCTCAAGGGTATTTGCATATAAGTGAATATAATGTACCCAAGTTGAATTGAAACTCAGCTCTTAGATTAACAATTTTGAGTTATTATCCATTACATGACCCACACAACAAAGCTTACAGCACCTGGTATCCCCTGTAGCACATGACTAAGAGCTTGTGGGGATATTATCACTAATTTAATTTAACAAAATAAAAAATTTAATTGAATAGAATACACATTTTTTGCTAACATCACAACTCAAAAGCAGCAACATCTTATAGAAACAAACACCCAAGCAAACCACCTACACACAGAGAACAATCACTCATGGGCAAAAAGTTCTAGCCTGCCTATACAGCCAGTCAGATATAAAACAGACCACATATTTAGACAGCAGTCCTGATAGCAGTTTTAAACCAGTTGGTCAGAAGTCACACACACAGCAGCTCAATGAAAGAACGTTTAATTCATGTAGTAAGTCACTTATAAACTCTACACGATAAAAATATGAACTTTCTGCACTACAAACTCAAAAAGGACTTTTTTCTTTTTCTTGTAATCTCTTTTAAATTGTTATACAAGATGTTGTGTTTATTAAAAACCTTGTTCATAATTATTTGTTATTTCTTGATGAAGTTACAATACTCAAATTATTTAGCAAAGTTTGGGTTAACAAATCATTTCTTCAAACTGTGTTTATTCAATTTCTTGTAGCTGAGACAAAGAATAAAAAGGTGAAACTAATCACCCAATTAAGAGTGGAGGAAAATTTAAAAGCTATAATTAAGCACAAAACAGTGAAATAAGGCATAGTTGATCATGTATTGTGAGAAATGGGTAGTCACCAACTCCTGAGTAATGAAGTAAAAATACTAAACAAAGAACATTGGAGAGAAAAATGTTTAAGAGAATCAGTGCATATGTTAGGTTATGTGAACGACCTTAGTAGGCTTAAGCTGGAAATAAATATGGGAGCCATTAATAAATAAATATAGAAAAATGACAGCAAGTCTTCAACAGCATCAGCAGAAAGAAAAGAGAAACCTCAGTGAATGGAGTCAAGCATGACAAGCAGTGTCAACAGCAAAGTATGTTTAAGGTGCCAATTCCTGGAAACAGGATTGTCCCACAGGAGAAAAAGTCTAGTGGAATAAAGCATTGGTTGTTAAATTGAAAATTATGAGTTCAATCCTTGATTGAAGTAGTGCCGATTTAAACTCAGTGAAAACAAGGCAAGCAATAATATTACTAAATAAGAACAAAATAAGATATCCTAGATGAAAAACATGAAGGCTGGTGGAAACAATGATTGAAACATTTTGATAATAACAATAAATATGAGGACAAGAATCAATGTGTAAATAATATAAATCGTTAATTGTTATTTCTATTAGAATTTGATTCTTATTTTATGTCATTGAATTATGTTCTCTAAAGCAAAACCTGAAGTTTCTTGAAATATCTGATTAAACACCACGAGAAGTTAGACAATATTTACAATGCTGTAATGCCAGAAATGCACATGAAATTCTTGGGTGAGCAATTTCAAAATATCAGGAAAAAAAACAGTAAGAAATGTTTATTATTTACCTGATGTTTTTTAAAAAGGGAATCACATTAAGCCAAAAGTTCTCAGTCAGTTTTGGTTTCCCTGAGAGAATCAAGCCTCTAAGGTTACTGCCATAGTTGATAAGGAAATTGTAGATGGCACTCTCAGAAAGTGCATTTGTGTAGCTGATGTCAATGGCAATAAGTTTGTTGAATTTACCAGTTTCCATCAGTTTCTCAAGAATCTGAAAAAAGCACAAAAGAGAAACAAAAAACAAAATTAAATAAACTTTTTATAAATTTTGATATCTGTCATTATTACACTTGGAAAATTCTACCAGAAGTTAATGTGAAATATCTCAACTTCAAATTTTAGTAGTAATGAATTTCAATAAATCAGTAAGAAAGAAAATGTTAAAATGCTTCTCAAATATTGTATTTTAATAGAAAAAGTCTATTAAAGTTTTCTCCTCATTGTATCATTGCTTTTTATCATATCTTTTATCATAGATTTTGTCATATTTTTTATCATAGTATTTCAAACTGAATATGTTCCAGCCATTAAAGTACTGCCATGAAATTGGAATAGCTTCCAATGAGACTTGAACTCATATCCCATTATCCTTTCATAGATGATACTTTAATCTGGAAGTTTAGGAGGTAGATGATGCACAAATCTGCAGCCATCTCCCTTTCAATGTTGTAATAAAAGGCAACAGTCAGATGAAGAGAAAACTAGTCAAAGATTAATAATAAAAATACAGGATTTCATAACTCAAATAACTTTGAACTATTGCTGTTATAAGACAATAAATAAATAATATGGCATGAAGATTTGCTAATTCACCAGAAAGAATCAACCTGAGGAACAACCTGAAATTATTTATGCAAAATAAAACTGAAAACTTTGGTATAAACTGTCAGGATATTTGGCCAAGATATTGATATATTGTTTGGACTTGAGAAATGTGCAATGTTAATGATATGCAAAAGAGAACATGAAGTAACAAAAGGAATTCCACTACCCATCAATGAAATCATCAGGACACTTAACCAGGGCTCCTGACTAACTTGTTTTCACATCTTTCTGAAATAATTGTAAACTGTCTCAAAATCAGAATGTTTTTCTTAACTTGTGTACTGAACTGTTATGTAATATCAGGCATTCTCTATGGCAGTGAATACTGGAAAATCTCCTCACAGTAACCGTTCAGGACATTGGCAATCATGGTTCTCCACAATTTCCTGTCATTTGTAACTCTTAATAAATTTTATCTTTTTGTTATCTCTCCTAAACCTTGTCGTCCTGGGTAAGATGTTAAACTACATCCAGCAGCAAGGCCTCTGATCAGGAGGCTTTGAGGACTGTGGAACCACCTCTTAATTGCTGGTGTTCCCAGGTCACCCTGACCCAGGGAGGTAGAACCTGTCAGGGTCTCAGCTATGGGAAAATAGTTAACTATTACCAGCAATACTTTTTTGAAAAAAATTATTACCAACAATACAATTTTGAAGGAATAATATTACCAGAAACAGATTTTTGACAAAACAAAATATTACCAGCAATAAAAAATGCTGTCGGCATTAAATAACCCATTGAGGTTGATATGTCGTAAAACAAAATAAACCAAACCAAACCAATCCTAAAACTTGCTCTACCATCCATTTATTTAAACTCAATAGGTAAATTATGTATTGTTTTCCTCTCTGTCCCTCTTGCCTTCAATCTAACCTTTGGGTATCAAACTTTTCAAGCCCTCTTTCTTCATTATGTACCCCAGAAATTTCTACTTTTGCTTTCTGATGTTAGGTATAAGTGCCCTTTTTGTTTTCATTTTCTATAAAACTTCATCATTGCTCACATGTTCAGTCCTTGGTATTCTTAGCATCTTTCTGTAGAACCACATTTCTATTGCCAAGTCTTGCCACATCAAGTCTCTTCTTCATCTGTGAACTGATTTTTATTGTAAGGCAATGGATGTTATCATTAGTTACTGCTATTTTTTGTGATCTTCAGTTTATTAGTTTTTGTTTATTGATGGTAGTCAAAAAAAAAAAAAGAAAAAATAGATGGGAGAATACAAGAATAAGAAACAATAATAGAATAAAAAATAACAAAAACTTTATATCAACAAAATAAAAAATAAGAAGAGAATGAAACAACTGACCGAATCTGAGAAGAATTCACAGTGTCCCAATCCAAGGTAAGTAAATCCAGGCATACGCAGCAGCATGTTCTCCAGGCACTCAGTAGAAAGCTCAGTGGATGTAAGATCCAATTCATGAATAATGGACTTCTCAGGCACTCAGTATGAAGGCATCTTCCGCCTGATGAAAAGAAAAATGGTCCAATTCATAATATTTGGACTGTTCCCTGAGATGAGGTATTATGTACAGTATTTACCATCATGTCCTCATCTTTGTCGCATATTTGTCTTCGTTTCGGCGCCTTCTTCAGAACAAAAATTTCAGAGGAAAATGAAAAGAAAAAAAAAAAAAAAAAAGGCAGTAATTAATTACAGCAAGTTACATATCTGGTCTCTAAGATTCACAAAAGGCGGTTTCCACTCAGGCATTTTTACCCTCTATCGCTTCCTTGTAGATATAATTGATATAATAGTTTTCATATGTCCGAAAAGCCCAAGCAAAAATGGAAAAAGATGGTGAAAATTCATAGTCAAATAAAACTTTAACTAGATAATCTGATGGAGATGTTGACTTTCTGTACGTAACTGAGGGATCTCAAATTCTAATTAAAGTAGATAAATATATATTCATTTCTATTTCCTTTTCTATTTTTCATTTCACCCCAAGCAAGACAATAAATTCACTAAGATGCAAGAGGTTACTAAGTGGCGATCCAGACGTTAGATGAATTGGTCAGTATAAAAGAACCCCAAAAACTTATGTTCTGAGTGAGAGAATATGAAAAGAACAAGATTATGTTCTCAGGAAAAAAGGTCCAAATAATTATATCTATCATCTATGCCAATGCAAACAGGTTAGAACATAGCTAAGACTAAGTCATAATGTGGATTTAAGGTTTTCTACTGGAAGTACTTGCAGAGAAACCTATTCATGCATGACATGGCATTGTAAATACCTTGATATAATGTGACTGTTTACAAGAGCAGCCTCAATAAGTGCTACTAAAGAGTCCAGGCTCATTACTATTAGTCAGGATGTAACAACCAGAAAACTTCTAAATCTGGTACCCTCAAAATGAAAAGTCACAACCACTGATCAGTCATTTTTTTAATCAAATTAAAATCAAGTTTAATCAAGTTTGCCCCAAACAAGGCAGTAAAACCACTATGACACAAGGGGTTACTGGGTGTAGAAAAATTAGAGAACAGAAACATTAATAAAGAATGAGAATAAAATCAGGACAGTAGATAGCAATTGACATTATATTTAAATTTTTGAAGATTAAAGTTGACTGGAAACCATGGTGTCAGAAGGGAGTTCCACGGGCAAGAAGTGTAAGAAAAGAAACAGCATAGAACTTACAGTTACATCTAGCCAACTCAACTACAAATTGATGAAACTTCATCACCAGTCTAGTACTGTGCTTAAATTCAAAAGTCTAGGTACCATAGCAAAGAACTCATCTGAACAATTACCATGAAAGTATTTGTAGAAAAGGTACAGAGAGGCAACCTTACGGCAGTGGGAAAGTGATTGAAGCCAAGACACTAGATCACAACCAATAATATTGTTGATTCTTCTTTGGATTTTATCAAAGAGCATTAGATATATAGCAGGAGTACCAGACCATATGTGGCAGCAATATATTAAGCCTGGATGAATGGCAGACTTATAGATATGTAAAATAAATTCTGAAGAGAAAAATTGTCTACACAGTGAACCAACTTTCTTAGCAGCTGATCTAGCAATGGATTCAATATCATCATTCAACCTCCCTGTGGTTGGTCGGAACTCCATTAACAATCCCTTTTCACACTGTTCAGTCCTGTATAGCTGTCCACAGATCAATGTACAATCCTTATTCCCAAGCTATGGTGTCTGTGAAAGTCAACTTTCATGAGAAGACACCTCCAGAAGGATGCCATAGAAGTAAGGATGAGATGACCTCCCATCTACTCAGAAGCAGTGGCCAGCTAACTGCAATCAACTTTTGTTTGAGTTTAATATTCAATATAGTTTTTTCACTTCAAGTCAGCCTGAGAAGATCAGCCAAGCTGATGGAAGGCAGAAAGGAGTCTCTCAGATGATTAATAGAGAACAGCTTAGTTTTGAAGGTGTTAAAATTAGCAAACCATCATTTGCCCCAGTTAACAACAGACTGAAGATAATTTTTTACATCAGCTAACATTTTAACTTTATTGAATTGATCAAACTTACTATTGAGTCAGGAGTAAATGTTTGCGTCATTAGCATAGATACCAAACCAAAAGTTAAATCATTAAAGCCATGGAAGAAAGAAAGGAATCAGTAAGCTGTATACTAATCAGGAAAAAGAGATAAACCTCTACTCCTGTTCAATAAACATAGAAGGAGTATTGGCTGGGTGATAGATGAACCTATCTATTTGCTAGATCCCTTAGCAATTTCCTATATTCTGAAATATATTTCAGCTTTAAATAACCCTTAAAAACCAATCGATTAACTTATCAGTTCTTTTTCTTAGAGAAATAAATATGAAATTATTACAGATGAATGAAGTTTGATACTGAAATTTTATTTTTATAAGAGTGTATTTTAATATATCTTTAATCCTCAGCATATGCTATAAATTTAATAATGAATATTCATTTTTTAAATTTATATTAAATTACATTAATAATTTGTGTCATTTAGTAACTTTCTGGAGATGAGAGGTCTCCTTTTTCTTATAAATTATACCTGCTGAAGGCTGAAGAATCTATCAGCTGAAATATTGTATTAACAGCATTAAATATATGAATATACAATATTAGTGTATCTCCTGTTCAGTCTAATGTACCAAATTATCACCCAAAGTATAAACGCAATACAGATCATAAAGTCTTCACAGTAGTTCTGCTTTTAATTATCTCTTGTGATCTCAGAAAACGGAAAATGTGACACAAAATTATGAAGGTGCACTGGAAGAGCAAAAGATGCCTTCCAGAAACTAAACAAAGTATTAAGAAATTAGAAAATTTCATTGGAAACAAAAAAAGTTTGTTAAACTACTGTGTCATATCTATCATCCTATAAGGAAGTGAATGCTGGACAATTTTATTACAAATGAAGAGGGGACTTTAAGTGACAGAAGGATGCTCAGAATACCATGGATAGAACATGTGAGCAATGAGAAAGTTTTAAGGAAAATATGAACTAGAAAGACACATGATTGAGATCAAAAAGAAAGCTTGGAGAATTTGACATTCACAGACTATATTGAAAGCTGGACGGGCAGAGAGAAACAGCAAGTAAGCTACCTAATGAGTCGTTTATGCTACTCTTTTAATTTTTTGTTTTTATTATTTCCTCTGAAGCAAGGGGATAAAGCCACTAAGATGCAATGGTTAATGTGGGTGAAAGAATTTGAGAAAATCATTATTAAGGACAATAAAAGAAAAGAAATTAAGGAGACAGATAATGATGATTGACATTGCATTTAAATTTTTTAAGATCAATGTTGACTTGGAAGCAAAAGGCCAGAAGAGAGTTTCTTAGGCAACAAGTGTGAGAGAAGAAACTATTAGTTTAGAACTTATTTTTAAATGAGAAATAGTTGCCAATCAAGTGCTGTGTTTAAATTCCTGAAGTTGAGCTGCCAAAGAGGAATGCTCATCAAAACAGTTACCATGAAAATATTTATTAAAAAAAAAGGTACAGTGAAGCTACATAACGGCAGTGAGAAAGGGAATGAAAGCAAGACAACAGGTTAGGACCAATAACATTACAGATTCATCTTTAGATTTATTTATTTATTCCTTAATGTTGTTAGATTTATTTATTTATTCTTTTATGTTTTTGTTACTTAATTTTTGATATATTTCCAAAACCCTTCCTATTTTTTAGCAATTAAATGTATTTTTATTTTTACTTTTTCTGAATTATATTTTTATTTTGGCAGTCTTTCCCAAATCAATTTCTGGGGACAATCTCAGCTGCTCAGGTTTACACTTTTTTTTTTCTTTTTTCACTTTGTAAACAATTTTTTGTTTTTCATCAAAGAATAATACAGTTTATAATTAACTTTCTTTTTAAAGTCCTTTTTATATGAAATGAAAACTTATAGCTTTGTTGTAAAGACAAAGACATTCCAAGGTAAAATTATTCAATAAACAGAGAAATCAATTTAAATATATCATTTTGAAAATATTGAGAATGTAATATTTATTGAATATAAATCTTTGTACACAATTATGTTTTTGACTTTATATTACAAAAGAGCATGAAAGAAAGATTAAGCCAAAGATCATTGTAAATGTCCAGTGCAAGGTGTTGAATCATAACAAAGTGAGGTAATAATTGCACATCAAAAATCAATTGGGAAACGACCAGTGATTTTTGTTTTGGTGGTAGACTATTGAAATACAACTCAAGATTTTTCAGTTACTCACTTTATCCAGATTTTGGTTAGCAAGAGAACAAGTGGTTTAACAATGCCCATGGTTTCTTCCTTAGTTAAGCAAGTAATCACTTTCATTTGATCACCTCTGATTGCAGAGAACAAAATATTTTAACACCCTATTTTTCACAATTTGTCTCTCTGACTGCTTCATTTTGTTTTCTAACCATGTTGCTCTGTGGCTAGCTAGTCCCTTTATATTTTCATGGTTAAAAACTATAATAATTTTGACTTAAAATCATGTTACCAGATTACATATATATATATATATATATATATATATATATATATATATATTTGGTTGCATTGATGTGAGTTCGTGACCCTGGGTTTCACACTTTTGCGATCATCAGACAAATGTGAAACCCAGGGTCACAAACTGTTATAGTCCAATATCCTCGCAGCACAGTTAGGGTCCAAGGGGTTAGAACCAAGGAAGAACAACACAAACACAAGAGTAGAATAACAAAGATATATTACAACAGAAATATAGTACAAGAAGTTGAAGTTGTTAGTAATGACTGTCCATCTGGTTTAGAGTGAACTAATATTGTCTCTACTCATTACACCATTCATTCATTATACCTCTTGAGAGGCACAGTATTTATAGTGTCAGGAAGAGTCCATTATCGTTATAGGTAAGTTTCCATAACACAAACTCACACCAAT